GGAAAGAGAAATGGAGTGATCGGTTGGTATCATTGCCGGTAGAGGGCAGTAGATGTCTAGCCGCCGTTGAAAATGATGCATCGCAGTAGGGAAAAGCGCCATTCACAATTGTGCTGCCGTAGACGATGGGTGACTTTACGTATGCAGAAAAAGCAGACATGCATTACATGTACGGCCGTGCAAATGGTAACGGCAGAGCTGCGTTACGAATGTATCGCGCGGAGTATCCTGATCGACGAATGCCGGATCATAGAATTTTTCAACGGTTACATCGTCAACTTTGTGAAACAGGTGCGTTCGACGTCAACAGACATGACGCTGGTCGATTAAGAGCTGTACGCACTCCAAGGCTGGAAGAAAGCATCTTGAACATTGTGGCTGATAGACCCGAGTCAAGCACAAGAACTGTTGCGCGTGACGTAGGTGTGAGTCATCAGACTGTATGCAGAGAGTTAAACGAAAATCGCTTACACCCCTTCCATTTTCAGAAAGTACAAGCATTGAATCCGGCAGATTATCCTCTCCGCGTGAACTTCTGCCTGTGGGTGATGCAGCAATGTGCGTTGCAGTCCTATTTCGTAGGTGATGTGCTATTTACAGATGAAGCGACATTTTCACGCGAGGGTGTCTTTAATGCGCACAATTCCCATGTGTGGGCAACCGATAATCCACATGCAACGCGTCCACATGCGTTTCAACAACGTTTCTGTATTAATGTGTGGGCTGGTATTGTGAACGACTTTTTGATTGGCCCATACTTACTACCCACGCGACTCAGTGGCGGAAGCTATCTTATTTTTCTGAAAGAAGTGTTACCACAACTGCTGCATGATGTTCCGATCGCCATTCGTAACCGCATGTGGTTTCAGCACGATGGGGCGCCAGCACACTTCAGCATTGATGTACGGAATTACCTGAATGCCACGTTTGGTGCTCGATGGATTGGGCGTGGTGGACCAATCCCTTGGCCACCCCGATCTCCCGATTTATCGAGCCTCGATTACTTTTTATGGGGACATCTAAAGCATCTTGTTTATGAGACTCCAGTTGACTCAGATGAGGATCTCGTCGCTCGCATATCTGTAGCTGCTGCAGGTGTGCGTGAAATACCAGGCATCTTTGAACGTGTACGCCAATCGCTCCACCGACGCTGTCAAGCATGTATCGCTTCTGGTGGACGCAATTTTGAACACTTACTGTAAACATGACACTTGTCAACAACGCTTTCAATAAAATCTTTGTTTTTCCTTTCGGCCGTTATTTCTCCAGTTTACGCCTCACCACGTCACTTGCGACTATACATTCCTATACAATAAATCATTGTTACAATGTCCTGTACCTACCATTGAAGTTTGTACCATGAATTCGGGACCACCCTGTATAAACGCGCTATTGTGAACTGTCTGTGCTAAGTGCTTGTGAAAAGTGCTTATTTTGATTTACGTTTTTTAAGAGCCCTTAAAGGTGCTTTTTTTATTCGGGGTTTGTAAAAAGTGATTAATTTTCTATTTTTTAAAATGAGATTTTTTCTTTGCCGGTTCGATTTTCGTTCTAAATTACAAAAAATGCATGATTTTTCTCAATTTTCTCTGTAATATTTATCGGAAACTATGTAAAGTAACTATGTATGATTATGTAAAGTTTTTTAAAATGTTCTTTTGATTTTATGTGTATAAATTTAGAATTTTAAACAATAGACAAAAATAATTTTTTTTACAGTCAGATCGTAATTATGATTTTTTTTTTCGGAAAGCGATTAAAAATATTTTTGAGTGCTTCAAAAGTATTTAAAATGTGCTTATTTTTTGTTGAAAAATCTGGCTACGCATCCTGTTTAAAAACTATAATATCCAATATGTTTGAAAAAGATATTTTTTTAGCACATCACAATACTAATGTTGAAGATCGCAATAGTACGTAAATAGCTTAATAAATAAATAGCTTAATAAATTATTAGCTAACGCAATATGTCAATGAAGTTTCCCTACCGCCAATTTCTTTCTATAACGAAATTGGAATGCTAAATAACATTCAAAATATTTTTCATAGTAGTTTACCCAATAACAATTTTTTTCAGACATTTTTCTTTTCGTCATTTTTTATATACATCTTTCATGATTTCCGCCACTTTTTTTTTTCTTAAGAAAATGGCATTTATTCGTTGTAATTTCCGCGCATTCTCTCATTGGTTTTTGAAATCACTCACTTTATTTTATTCCTTCAAAATGATTCATTTTAAGCACTCCTTTATTAAGTGTGTTACTAATTATTGTAATTATATGCTTAGCGTTTTTTTGTATTATGTTTTTGCAAAAAGGAGGGCACTCTAAACGAATTAAGAATTTCTTAGTTGTTGACTATAAAGAGAATGAGCTAACATTGAGCGGAACCACTAGAAGCATTCTATAGCGGGATTATTTATTTGATAACATAGTGCGTAGAGTTTTTAAAAAGGGCTTGAAGGTGCTTTTTTCAGTGGTGTTTTTAAAAAGTGCTTTATATTGTGGCGTAACTACCACTGCGAAAATTAAACTTCAATTCACTGATATATGAGACATACTAACTTGATTCAACAACGGGGTACCTTTTGATAGATGAAGGTTGGCATGGTCGATAACCCCGCCCCACATTGGTGACCCGGACGTGATTTGATCACGCAGTAACGCCTACTTCGATGGATGATTCACATTGAACAGTTGACTTGCTACTGGTGATAGCGGCATCAGCCCCCTCCTCACTCTGTTGCTGCTCAGTCTCGTCTCGAAGATACACACAACGTCGGCCAGTATACACTCGACTGCTAAAGGCAACACAGGAGCGACCACGTCTGTGAAGTTAATACACCTCTCACATTCAGCACTCAAAAACCCGGTGATCTTAATTCCAGCTCTCCCGGTCTTTCACAAGTGCAGCAACTAAGTGGAAACCGTTCATCGAATTCTATCTCTGATAAAATTCTGGTGGGGGAGTATTGTGGCGTAACTACCACTACGAAAATTAAACATTAATTCACTGGTATATAAGACATGCTAACTTGATTCAATCACGAGATATCTTTTGATAGATGGAGGTTGGCATGGTCGATAACTCCGCCCGCATAATATCAATTTTCGCTACGTGTAATGCAAAAACGTGGTTTTGAAATTGTTTTATTCAACGTTTTCACAATTCATTCCACCACAATTCATTTCGGCGTACCATTGGTCTTTAGCGTATGAAAGCGCCAATCATTTTACATATTTGATGAAATATTTGCGAGTCCGCAAGTGTGTCTGCTGAGATGAGATTCTAGCACTCTCATGTGAAACTCTGCTGCATTCTCAATTTCAGACTTCATATTCTACCCTCTGATATCGAACAGAAAAATCTTTCGATCTTCTTATGGTGGCTAATATAATCAAGAAAAGAGTTCTTTATCTGAAAATAGTTATTTAATCATGATCATGTAAAATCTTTGAAAATTATTTTGCATTTTATTAACACTAGAAAGACTGAAAATTAGTATATACCTATATTGCCCAAAAGCAGTCAAAATGACTGCATTGTGAATGAGTAAATAAATTTGTTTAAAATTAATCTTTAAATTTTTTTTGTTATTTACAGTTACATAACAAGTTATTAATAAATATTAGCAGTAAAAAAAGTTATATATTGTTCAGAATTCTAAGAAATTGTGTCATTATATACACCAATGTTTTTCTAATTGAAATTAAAAATAGTCAAAATGACTTCCTTAGGCAATCTAGTGTAATCTAAACTGCTGTTTGTAGAAAATGCAACACCATGAAAGAATCATCAGAATCAAATGAAATTTAATGCAGAAACGACTTGTACTGATACAAATAAATGATGNATCATGTAAAATCTTTGAAAATTATTTTGCATTTTATTAACACTAGAAAGACTGAAAGTTAGTATAGACCTATATTGCCCAAAAGCAGTCAAAATGACTGCATTGTGAATGTGGAAATAAATTTGTTTAAAATTAATCTTTAAAATTTTTTATATTACAGTTACATAACAAGTTATTAGTAAATATTAACAGTAAAGAAAGTTATATGTAGTTCAGAATTCTAAGAAATTGTGTCATTATATACACCATTGTTTTTCTAATTGAAATTAAAAGCAGTCAAAATGGCTTCCTCAGGCAATCTAGTGTTAATGTATATAGTGCTTAAAAATATTTTGAGTGCTTAAAAAGTACTTCAAAGGTGCTTATATTTTGTTGAAAGATTTGGCTACCCACCCTGGATAACTGTTTAATGTCTTATAGATGCAGACCGATGTCCACGGAGTGTGTCCACTGACAGTAATACCCCTTGACAGAGAGAGAGTGAGGGTCATAAAAGATGTGTCGCAGTGTGTCCCCCCAGGTCATTCCGTGGAACGACCCAGCGTCTCATCTTTATTCTGGGACAAGGTGGGCCAGTTTCTACTCGTACTTCAGTCCATATTTGTATTTTAAACTTTTTAAGATTACATCAAAATTATTTTATTGAATTAGGAGATACCAAAATTTTCTTTAATCCACAGATTTGGTTTCATAGATTTCATTCCACTTTATATTAGGAAGAAAAAAAGTTTTTTTTTCAACATGAACTCATAAATTCATTAATTTAATTTAGGGTTATTATTAAAATAAGTTCTTTCGTTAAAGAGATAATTTACTCACAGAGCGATTGGTAATTAATTTAACTGTACTACTTCTTTGGAATTCTAAATAATTATTTTATAGCCAATATTTAAAAGTTTCAAAAATAAATAGAGCTTGTTGAAATGTAAATATGACTTATTTAACGCCTAATACCGGTATCAAAAATTTCTTTATCCTAATATGGTGTACAGCAAGGCAATATCATGAGTTTACTTTATAGTACTGTACCGGGTTCAAAAATTTTCTAGGGTCTGGGTACCAAGTAAAAGCTGAATTTTATATCCAGCTGGTTCCGGGTAGTAGATAAAATTTAATTTACTACCCGTGTTTTTACCCCCTAATTTACTAGATTACGATTACCCCGTAAAATTATGTTTTAGCACTCGATTACTCGAGCCATCAATATAGTAATTAAGCAAAAAATACCTTTTTTTAATGAACAAGTAATTTACAAGTTATAGTTAAAGACAATCTTATACGCGTTTACATAACTTTAAGTATTTATTAAAGCATAGCTTTAAAAAAATGTAAATTCGAGAATATTAACAGAATAATAACAGACTTAGCTACAACAATAACTGCTGATTATTTTTAATAGTTAGTTATAACATTTATTAATTAACTTTTGTTAAGTGTATAAAATATTTTTTTTAAAGAAATGACTGTATATTGAATGAACTATACAAGAAAGTATGCAATGGAAGTTAGCTCTGTAATTAAATGGAAATTTTATTTCAATAGTTGGAGAAAAAAATTCTTGTCATTTAAAACCCAACTTATATTTTATAACCGTCGTTGAACAGCCGACCCAATTTTTCGGGTTTACGACTACTTATGTTCAATTCCGTAGCCTTGAAATTTGGAACCCAATCCAGAAGACAAGGGGACTCCTGAATGAAGAATTGGGAGAAAATGGGTCCGACTGTACTTGTTTTTAAATTTCTGCAAAAACTTTATTTGCTAATAAATATGTGTAGGGCCGGGATAGCCTGTTTGGTAGGGCACTGAGCCCATGCTCAAAATTTCGTGTTTTCGATCCTAGGCCAGCCGAACACTCCCCGTGTAGTCAATGGTGACTGATGCACATTAAATCTGTCGAGTTGCAAAGTCCTCTGTTCCCATAACAAATCAAACCTCTGGGGGTACTGATCCAGGAGTTTCCTTGTCTTCTGTATTAGTTCAAAATTGCAAGGCTACGGAATTGGACATTAGTCGTAGTAAGCCCAAAAATTGTGTCAGCTGTTCAGCGACAGATATACAATAAAATAAAAAAATAAGTATGAGTAATCATGCATACATTAATTTAGGCTTTCTAAAACAATAAATTCTTCCCACACCTGTAAAACTGTAGGTGGTGACTGTGTTTATTTTATGTTCAAACAAATTCATGTATACAATCTGAACCATAAGTCAGATCTCTCTTAGGAAAGTAAAAAACTTGAAATTCTTACTCTCTGGAACAATCGATATTGTATTTATACGATTGTATTACCTTTTAATTTAGAAGAACATTGTCAACATGAATTTAAGATGATGAGGGTTCAGAGGAAGGAATAAATTCAATTGTGATTTTCTTCAAAGGCCAGCGAATAGAGGAAATGAAGCCTATAATTTGCCTTTATCGAAAGTTACAATAGTCATATTGTTTTTATCCTTTTAAAAAAAATTATTTGTTTCCAGAATCTACAGATTTAATGTAATGTGAGGATTTTTTTCTTCTTTATCTTGACTAGCGAAATGAAGTATATTCTTCTTTGACAAATGCAAACGTGTACTCATTAGAATAATTTTAAAACCGTCGTTGAACAGCCGACTCAATTTTTCTGTATTAAAGACTAATGTTCAACTCCATACTCTTGTCATTTTGAACCCGATCCAGAAGACTAGGGAACTCCTGGATCGAGTATGGGAGAGATTTGCCTTCGTGGAGGACTTTTTGATGGAACTAACCCGCATTTGTGTCACATGGAGAGGGAAACCGCGAAAACATCCCACAGTTAACTTGGCGGTAAGGGGACCCATTATCCGTTTTCCACTGAGGATATTTTACGTCAGCACTGTGGAGGCAGGATGTGAAATTCGTATTGCTGGGGTCCGGATCACCACATTGGAAGGCTCTGTCCCCTGAGCCATCACTGCTCTAACTTAGGAAAAATCTGTTGGAGAAATATTTATAGTTCTCAAAACAGCATTTTTGAGAACCGAAAATAAGTTATTTTTAAGACTGCATTTTGCACAAGTTTTGAGCTATACTCGATTCATGGGACTATCTTTGTGTCTCAGAGTACATTTTTAGAAATCATTATGAGGTATTAAAATACGGTTAAATATTATCAAATTGAGCCCTTTGTTTGGTAAATGTGTTGAAATAATACGGTTTTGTGCTTTACCTAATTTGATGAATTTATTTACCCAATATTTCAGAATGTTTTTTCTACATCCATAAACAAACACTTTCGCAGATTTATTTTTTGCCAGTTTTATGAAAGTGTGAAAATTCTACTCATAATATTTAAAATCTAAAATAAGCGTTAAATCTGATTTTCAGCGAGGCTGTTGTCGATTTGTGAAAAAGGAATTCTGTTTTTGTAGGTAGGTAGGTAATTTATTTATGCAGATGCTGCATAATGGGCTACTGGCGACGGTCTGGGAAGCATCAATGAGAATGATCCGAAGACATGCCATCACAATTTCGAGTCTCTGCAGAGGGGATGGCTCCCCTGGTTTAGTAGCCCGACGATCTGTGCGTGAAGTCGAGCACTTTACTGTAGAACAATTTAACGAGGAACCATACCGCGCACCCTCGGTTCCTACGTAGGCCGATCAAAGTGGTCACCCAACCGCTTACTGACAACAGCCAGTGAAGCTTGACTTCGGTGTTCTACTGGGAGCCGTGTCTTTACGATCAGCCCACTGCAGGACATTCTGTTTTTGTAAAAATATTGAGATGATATTGATAATAATAGATAATGAAAAAAAAATTGCGATTGATCAGTTATAATATATTTTGCGAAGCATTCTTTTTAAGTTTATGTATTTTTTAAGGGATTAGATAACGCACTTCACCAATTAAAAAACTTGTATAAACAACCTTCAGTGACAATGATAGAAAAACCTTTTTCTTTACTCTCTTTAAATGAAGGTAAATTATATATGAAATCAATGCGACTGTAAAATCTAGTTTTAATACATTAAAATTAGTAGTAGTAGTATTACAGTTGGATCCTGATTAAACGAATTTATAGAAACCGAAAATATTATTCGCTAATCGAGGATAATTCGTAATATCGAGAGCAAAAAAAAAAAAAACAAATTTACTATCCTTATGAAAAATCTGGAGACATCACTAATAAGCAAATACACAAAATGAATAGAAATCTCTTTCAGTTTTTATTCAGGAACTTAAAATACAACGAATGATGCATTCATTTGAAATGTTAAAGCATTTCGTGAGTAAGGTTTGCTTATTTCTTACTTTAATAAAAGTTCTTTTTTCGACGTCGGGAAGAGAAGAAATTGACATATTGGCTGCATTAGGTAAGTTTTCACTGTTCCTTGCAAAGCATCGGAAAAGGTAACAGTTTTCACTGCAGATTCATTATAATCAATTTCTGTGTCGCTATTCATTGTTTCCTATTAATCTAATTCAATAACTTCATAAAATTCGTTAAATCGCAAAATTCGGTAACAGTTTGTCAAACCAGGATTTTTTAAAACGGGATTCGTTAAATTGGGGTTGGACTGTATTTATTAATTTTATGTTTATTTTTTTATTTGCAAAACGATATTGATCTGTTCAAAATGAATAATGGTTTTCCGCTCTAAATTTTTTACCACTGAAGGTGATTTTTTTTTTCATTCTATCTTCATTTAATTTATTTTGTATGTTTCTATTTTCTGTTCATTCTTTCTTTCTGTATATTTTGCACTCTAATAAAAAAAATTGTTTTGCGTAAGCCAGCAGTTTTATTTTCTTTAAATAAGAATGAGTTTCAAATTGTGCTTGTTCAAATTGTTCTAATACTATGAATCGTAAGATAATTGTGTTGAGAATAAACAAATATTACCCAGCAGTGGAAAACCGGATCCGGATTATTCGAATTGTCCGACATTTGTCCGACGTTTGTCATTGTCCGACATTTATCCGACATTGACACTGAACATTTGTCCGACGGGTTCAAATAATAACTGGGTACTGAAAATCTGGCAGGATACCCAGTGCATCTCTACTTTATCATCTACTTTATTTTTTAATAATAATTAAAATCAGAATCGTAATACCACGATTTTTGTATCCGACTCGCACACTGCTTACATAAAAAATGTTCAGTAATAAACGGGTCATGAGATAGAATTTTCTTTTCGTTGAGCTAACCGTGGAGAATTTTCGTGGTTTTTACTCCGTGTAACGCAACTGTGTGCTAGCTCCATTGAAAAATCCTGCACGAAAGCTAGTTTTTCAAAATGCTTGATCTAGGTGTTCCCTTGTCTTCTGGGTTGGGTTCCAAACTATAAGATTAAGGAATTGTAAACTCAGAATTGGGTCGGCCGTTCAATGCCGGATAAAAAAAAAATAGTGGAAGTCGAGTAAGTATCGAAACACTTCGGCTAAGATGAACCAAATAATGGGTTATGATACATGACTGGTAAATACTGTATTTTGTTTCAGATTTCTGTTGGACACGCATTTAACTCTACGACGGATTGTGAGCATCGAGTGGACACATCTGAGAAAAAGATTGTGAGTGTCCATTGCAGAGAGACGCATATTGGAGGATCATTGCACATTAGCATTTTGTAAGAGTCCTTTTTTTATAGAACGCATGAAATCTTCATTTAATTTTCACAAAACCCCCTCCACTTGTATGAACGTAATATGTAAAAATAATTATAGAACATTTATCCTTCGTTGTAAAAAATAAGGTGTCTAACTCTTGATGTTTCTATACATCTAAACTAAATCATCCCTAGATATTGTTTTTTACAAAATACTAACGGTAAATATTTAAATTCTATACAAGAGGAATTGAATGACCTTCACACACATACAGCTGAGATAAATATTAATTACATGAAGATAACGTTAAAATGCCACAAGGTTAAGAGCATTTCGACCAAATTTTTTGTTTTAAGTGGTAGTCTCAAATTCATTAAATAAACGTTAAAATTTAAGTTATTTTTAACTTGAAAATGACCATTTTTGCCCTTATTTTGACTATGGCGAATTTCGTAACCAATTTTTGACGTAATTTTACCCAAGTGTAGGTTTCTTTTTTAACGCATTTTTTGAATTATTTTAATCAAATTATTAGCGTTTATTTTCGGTTATACATTTATTTATAAATTTCGTTTTTTTACCTTGAATATTAAAATTTTTTTAACGCTATCTTTTGTTTTGAGTTTAGTGAATTTCTTAAATTGAAATTAGATTAGTTTTGACATGTTCGTACAATTTCTAACGCATTCAGTTTTCACTTTAGGATCAGAAATTTCCAGTAGTTCATTATCTGGATTTGAAAGAGATCTTTCTTAACCTAACTTTATCAAGCATATTTTTTTTTTCAAATTCACATAAAAAACATTCAAATTAAAAATATTATCTAAAAAAAGAGCTCCTTCAAATATTTTTTAATGTGTTATATTTATCAATATTTTTCAAGCTAATGACATATAATAGTTTTTATCCATAAATATTAATTTCTTATTTTAGTTGCGAATTTAACAGATTTTTAAAATATGAGAGGTGCAATTTCTGAGTTTTCGTGCATAGCTTTCCTAATTCTAAAACGTATAAAACGTAATTATACCACTCACAATACTTAAAGTTCATGAATCTGTACTGGTTTTATGTTTATGAATCTGTACTATCTGGTACTCTGCATAGTATAGCTATGTACTATGTTACTTGTTGTATTTTGACGTAATTTTATAACTATATAACTATATGGTAACTAGTATATATAACTATATAACTAGTATAACTATATGGTATATACTATGTATATACCATATAGTTATACTATATGGTATAGTTATACTATATGGTAATACCGATTTTTTATATTTAAATGAAACTCAAATAGACATACAGCCATACAAAGCTTATTACTATGTATGACTGTGCACTATAGGCTTGTTTTTCTTTTCTTTCAGACACACTATGAAGTTAATGAGAGCAGCTCCTCGTGCAGAAAAAGTCTATCAGCCAGAGTTAAAACTCAAAAAGAGTGTTCTATTTGAGTTTGAGTCTATCATTCAGCCATGCCAATCAGAGGGCATTACTATGCTCAGTCAATTAGTCAGAGATTCTGCCGAAGAAATGAAACTTTCAACCCTCTCCTTGTTCACTGATTTCGTGGCGTGGATGGAATCGTGCACTGACCTCCGTCCGATACTGGACTCTGTTTTGTCTTGCTCTAACATGCCTGGCGAGGAGTGTTCACCACATGAAAAGGTATGAAAGGTTATTTTGACTTTTTTTTCTTGTTATTTTGACTTTCTAGGAACCCAAAAGAATAAAAGTCACGCAGTTATCGTTAGATTGTCGTTGATAAAATATCGTTAGAATTGACTAGCAATATCGTTAAGGTTTTGGTATTTTTTTGCAGACCAAAAGAATTTTTAGACTGGGTCGAAAATTCTAGAACTACTACGATTGACTGGTTCGAATTCTGTAATTACAGAATTCCTAGGATGTAATTACAGAATTCGAATTACATCCTAGGAACAAGTAAATGGTTCAGTTACTCCTAGGTTTGACTGGTTCAGGTATTCCTAGGATTGACTGGTTCAGTTATTCCTAGGATTGACTGGTTCAGTTATTCCTAGGAATAACTGAATCTTAAGTTTCCGGGAACCCCAGATCGGGCACTTTCACTCTAGTCTAGAGTGAAAGTAGAATTGACCGAATTACATTTTCCGGAAGGTCCGGTTTAGTTGAATGGACTGGTAATGATTTATCCGAAGTTACAAAAAATGTAGCTCTTAGGATTTTATCTTAGGATTGTTTTGGTTGCACCTAGGTTGTTTCAGTTCTCGAAAAGATTAGATAACAGTCTAAGAGTAAAAGATTAGATAACATTAGATTGACTGTTTTAGGACAATCTAATCGTCCGAAAATTATCTTAATTTCTTAATTAATCTTGTTACTCGTGTAAGTAAAGTAGTAAAGCGCCCGTTCTGATGGGGCACTTTATGGAAATAAAGGGTGATTTGGATATTTTATATATCCAAATCAATTTGATCATTACCATATATTTTTGGATATATTAGACAGTGATATTTTAATGCATTGGAAAAAAAAACTTTTTTTGAAGGCTTTGGGCATGCTTTATCTGAGATGTATATTGTTTGTATTGTTTTGTATCTACTGATCAAATTTCATTAAAATCGGTCTAAATTGTTCTAGATTGTTCTGACCGGTTTTGTATTGTTCTAGAATAGTAATCGAACAAGTCCGAAAATTCTCTCAATTTTTTACACTAGTGTGAGTATTTGAATAAAGCGCCCGTTCCGCTGTGGTTAAGTAAGCACTTTATGGAAACAAAGGGTGATTTTATATCATATTAGATCGTGATATTTTAATGCAATGTCCATTGGAAAAACTTGACTAGGATTGACTGGTTTAGTTAATCTTAGGATAGACTGGCTTAGTTAATCCCAGGATTGACTAGTTTAATTTATCTTAGGATTGACTGTTTTGGTTAGACCCAGGATAGACTGTTTTAGTTAATCCAATTGGCTGGCTTATTTATTCCTAGTATTGATCGGTCTTAGCATCCTAAGACATCCAAGGATAGACTAGTTTATTTGATAATAAGATTGACTGATTTTGTTAGTCCTAGAATAGACTAGATTAGTTTATCTTAGGATTTACTGTTTTGGTTAGACACAGAATTGACTGTTTTAGTTAATCCAATTGGCTGGTTTAGTTAAGTCCTAGGATCCTAGGTCATGCAAGGATTGACTAGTTTAGTTAATCCTAGAATTGTCTAGTTAATTATGATAATGATTGTGCGGTTTAGTTAAATCGAGAATTGGCTTTTGGCTTCTTGGTCTTGAGAAATAAAAAATGTAACTTTCGATTTTTGATACTCAAAATATCAATCTTTAAATGGTTATTTGTTTTTGTATTGCATTGTTATGTATCTACAGATCAAATTTCAATAAAATTGGTCCAGTAGTTCCAGACTAGTAATCGACCAAGTCCGAAAATTCTTATAATTTCTTACTCTAGTGTGTGTATATTGAATAAAGCTCCCGTTCCGTTGGGGTTAAGTAATAAAAGAAAAGGTGATTTGATGTCATATTAGATTGTGTTATTTTAATGCCCACAGGAAAAACTTGACTAGGATTGACTGGTTTAGTTAATCCCAAGATTGACTGATTTAGTTAATCTTTGATTGGTTTAGTTAATCCCAGGATTGACTAAATAGTTTATCTTAGGATTGACTGTTTTGGTTAGACTTAGGATTGACTGATTTAGTTAATCTTTGACTGGTTTCGTTTCCCAGGATTGACTAGTTTAGTTTATCTTAGGATTGACTGTTTTGGTTCGCCCTAGGATTGACTGTTTTAGTTAATTCTAAAATTGACTGTTTTAGTTAATCCAATAGGCTGGTTTAGTTAAACCTAGTATTGATCGGTCCTAGGATCCTAGGTCATCCAAGGATTGACTAGTTTAGTTAATCCTAGGATTGTCTGGTTAATTATGACAATGATGGTCCAGTTAAATTAAATCTAGAATTGACTGGTTTAGTTAAAGAGAAATTAAAAATGTAACTTTTGATTTTTGATACTCAAAATAGCAATTTTTGAATGGTTATTTGTTTTTGTATCTACAGATCAAATTTCATTAAAATCGTCCAGTAGTTCTAGACTAGTAATCGACCAAGTACGAAAATTCTCATAATTTCTTACTCTAGTGTGTGTATATTGAATAATGCACCCGCTCCGATGGGGTTAAGTAAGCACTAAATGGAAACAAAAGGTGACTAGGATTAACAGGTTTAGTTAATCCCAGGATTGACCGGTTCAGTTGATCCAATTGGCTGGTTTAGTTAATCCTAGTATTGATCCGTCCAAGGATCCTAGGTCATCCAAGGATTGACTAGTTTAGTTAATCTTGGGATTGACTAGTTTAGTTAATTCAGGATTTACTAGTTTAGTTTATCTTAGGCTTGACAGTTTTGGTTTGTCCCAGGATTGACTGTTTTAGTTAAATCTAACATTGACTGTTTTAGTTAATCCATTTGCCTGGTTCAGTTAATCCTAGGATTGATCGATCCAAGGATCCTATTTCATCCAAGGATTGACTAGTTTTAATAATCTGGGGATTGTCAGATTAATTATGATAATGATTGTGCGGTTTAGTTAAATCGAGAATTCACAGGCTTAGGTAATGAGAAATAGAAAATATAATTTTTGATTTTTGATACTCAAAATAGCAATTTTTGAATCGTTAGTTGTTTTTGTATTGTATTGTTATGTATCTACACATTAAATTTCATTAAAATCAAATCAGTCTAGTAGTTCTGGACGAGTAATCAAACAAGTTAGAAAATTCTCTTAATTTCTTACACGTGTACTTTAAGTAAGCACTTTAAGGAAACAAAGGGTGATTTGATGTCAAATTAGATCGTGATATTTTAATGCATTGTCCATTGGAAAAATTAGACTAGGATTGACTTGTTTAGTTAATCACAAATTGACTGGTTTAGTTAATCCCAGGATTGATTGTTTAGTTAATTCAGAATTGACTGGTTTAATTACTCCTAGGATTGACTGGTTTAGTTAATCCTAGGATTTACTGGTTTAATTAATCCTAGGATTGACTGGTTTAGTTAATTCAGGATTTACTAGTTTAATTTATCTTAGGATTGACTGTTTTGGTTTGGCCCAGGATTGACTGTTTTAGTTAAATCTAACATTGACTGTTTTAGTTAATCCATTTACCTGGTTCAGTTAATCCTTAAATTGATCGGTCCTAGGATCCTTTTTCACCCAAAGGATTGACTAGTTTAAATAATCTGGGGATTGTCTGATTAATTTAGATAATGATTGTGCGGTTTATTAAATCGAGAATTTACTGGCTTAGGTAATGAGAAATAGAAAATATAATTTTTGATACTCAAAATAGCAATTTTTTAAACGTGTGACTTTTTAATTTAACCCAATGGGCTGGGTTAGTTTATCCTAGTATTGATCCGTCCAAGGATCCTAGGTCATCCAAGCATTGACTAGTTTAGTTAATCCTTGGATTGTCTGGTTTATTATGATAATGATGGTCCGGTTAAGTTAAATCTGGAATTAACTGGTTTAGGTAATGAGAAATTAAAAATGTAACTTTTGATTTTTCATGCCCAAAATAGCAATATTTGAATGGTTATTTGTTTTTGTACTGTTATGTATATTGTTCGATAAAGCCCGAAAATTCTTATAATTCCTTACACTAGTGTGTGTATATTGAAAAAAGCGCCCGTTACGATGTAGTTAAGTAAGCACTAAATGGAAACAAAAGGTGATTTGATGTCAAATTAGATCGTGATATTTTAATGCATTGTCCATTGGAAAAATTAGACTAGGATTGACTGGTTTAGTTAATCACAAATTGACTGGTTTAGTTAATCCCAGGATTGATTGTTTAGTTAATTCAGAATTGACTGGTTTAGTTACTCCTAGGATTGACTGGTTTAGTTAATCCTAGGATTTACTGGTTTAATTAATCCTAGGATTGACTGGTTTAGTTAATTCAGGATTTACTAGTTTAATTTATCTTAGGATTGACTGTTTTGGTTTGGCCCAGGATTGACGGTTTTAGTTAAATCTAACATTGACTGTTTTAGTTAATCCATTTGCCTGGTTCAGTTAATCCTTGGATTGATCGGTCCTAGGATCCTTTTTCATCCAAAGGATTGACTAGTTTAAATAATCTGGGGATTGTCTGATTAATTTAGATAATGATTGTGCGGTTTATTAAATCGAGTATTCACTGGCTTATTTAATGAGAAATAGAAAATATAATTTTTTATTTTTGATACTCAAAATAGCCATTTTTGAATCGTGTGACTTTTTAAGTTAACCCAATTGGCTGGCTTAGTTAAGCCTAGTATTGATCAGTCCTAGAATCCTAGGTCTTCCAAGGATTGACTCAAGGATTGACTAGTTTAGTTAATACTAAGATTGTCTGGTTAATTTTCATAATGATGGTTTGGTTTATCTAAATCTAGAATTACCTGGTTTAGGAAAAGAGAAATTAAAAATGTAACTTTTGATTTTTGATACTCAAAATAGCAATTTTTGAATGGTTATTTGTTTTTGTAATGTTATGTATATTGTTCTACCAAGTCCGAAAATTTTCTTAATTTCTTACACTAGTGTATATTGAATAAAGCTCCCGTTCCTATGGGGTTGAGAAAGCACTTCATGGAAACAAAGGGTGATTTGATGTCATAT